TATTATTGCAATTCAGGGACTATTCAGGTAATTTGTTTCAAAATCAGGTCAGCATGGAAATAAAATTATAATAAATTGTTCTCATATTTTGTGGGAATGTAATTTCACAAAAATGAGAGACAAATTTTCTGTGACTTAAACTTTGCAGTTTGGCAAAAAAATCATACTGAAAAGAATAAAATTTTCCTAAAATTTACCAAATGCTGATCTGAGTTTACAAACAGGTACTGCAGTGTCTGAATCAATGCCACAGATTTTTTAGTAGAAGCCACATTTTACAATATTGAACAGAACCAAAACTTGAAACAGGTTGACTGTGTAATTGAGAGAAAGAGAGAATGTTATCAATGTTGTGTATACTAAGTTGATGTTTTGGTAAATTTTTAGTTTTTTACTGGCAGGTATTTAATTTCACAATCTGTGTGTAGTCATGAAAATTGCAAAACGTAAGTCCACTTAAAATACATGTAACAATGTTACAAGTGGCTACTGTGTCCACTTATAGCCTTCTAATTGCCAAGAGTTGCTCAGGTTTATTTGAACATCCAACTTATCACTCTCTAATAACATAACAAAAGAACCACTCACAAAGAATAAAGTTATCAGTGAAAGGGAAGGACAGGAATATTAACCTTTTCGGTGGACGGCATGATGTACGAAGGAATAGCAAGGCCCTTTCAATGTATCTGGAAGGATTTTTTCATTCATTTCATTCTAACCTGGATCGCTTAACTACCATTGGCGATCATGTTTCTGTTTTCAAATAGGATAGTTTGTGTTCCTTGTATTAGAGAGTCGTGCGTGTTTTCTCCACTAACATTACTTAATAGTTTACATGAAATTGCACTATGTTGTATGTGAAAAGTTCAGCTTACTTCTGTTTTGTACAAGTTATTTCAATGATAGATTTACTTGCATTTTCATGAAATTTTAATTCAGTGTAGATATAGAGTCTTCGTGTCATTTTGCTCTTTTAGTTCTGGAGCAGCTGTAACTATTTGATTGCAACAAGTTGAGGTTGCTTTCCAAAAACCCTATTGTATGCAATGACTTCTTTAATTGTGAGGCCCTTACTTGGCTTTAGGACATTCCTTGAAAGGCCAAAGGTTTGGACGGTACTAGAGTTAATTCATGTTGGTGTATTATTAAAGTTGCTTAGCATTTTATAAACCTACCAGGTAATGGATTTTTACTCAAATTTGTAACACCATAAACATATCTTTTAGGGGTTTTTTTTTCACTTTCATAATTTAAACACAGCAGAAACAAATAAAAAGAAACCTTTGAATAGCACTAACAGAGGTAACCTAAGATCAAATGCAGAGCATTTGCTATAATTCTTTAGTCACAATTAACCATGAAAAAGGGTAATAAAAATTATGTAAAACATTTGTAAGCATTTTCCCCTTCCAATTTAGAACACACAACAACACCTGCTTCATGTAAAAAAGAACTGTGTTAAAAAAACTGATTCAATAGACCATATTCTTATTCTCGGTATTGGACTGGAACTAGCTTGCAACTGAGGCTAATGCAGGGAGTCTTTTCAAATGCAAATTACTTTGAACTCTTTTTAATGATATTCCCCGCAAGAGCCTCCATTGCAAGCTAGTTCCAATTCAATACCGAGAATATGAATATGGCCTGTTATGCTGCTGTTTGGGAAGAGGGAGGACTGAAAAGGAGAATAAGATTGGGAGAAAGCTGACGGAGATAGGTTTCCAATGTGTTTACATTCTCATCCGCAATCCACTGTTTTTGAGTTGGTTACCCAGAATGCTACTATAATTATAAGATCATGTTTTGACTTCATGTGCACTAACAGAGAGATTTTCGTTGCTAGTAGTTGAGCCACAAAACATTTGTCTCTATTGGCTGGGTTCATGTGCAACAACAGGTTAATTTACCATTTATATTTCCCTAACAATGGTGCTATTGGTCACCACAATGTAATTCTAGTATGTTATACACTTAATTTTATGAAATACTGTAAACTGCTGCTTACAAGCTTCCCCCCCACTTATAAGCTCCCATATACCTGTAAACCACAAAATACATCCAGTTATAAGCCCCTAAATAGCTTTCCTTGTCTTGGATTTGTTTTATTAATGATGTTTAAAGCATAATTAAAGACCAGTAAATGAAAAACCTATTTCAATCAACACAGCTACAGCTCGTTTCAAATGGTGTCTTTATTCTGGTTACAAGGCCCCTCAGAGATAACCCTCTCCGTTTATAAGCCCATCTAAAAGCCCTTATGAAATTGCACAAGCCCAGGGCTTATAAGCGGCAGTGTACAGTACTTTACTTCTTTGGTAATGACATGATCATTTAATCTTGGAATAAACTTGTTACTATTTGAAGCTCATTGTGTTATAAAGAATGGCCCAAAAAGGAAAATGTGGTATCATAAAACATGCTTCACAAGTGACAAAATAACGGGATTTTGGGTATCCCAAAACTTCCTCTGATTTGAAGCCCCCCCTTTCCACCACTCACTAAGAAAGCAACACATCAGTTTGTGAATGACGCTATGCACTCTTCCTCACCCGCAATCAGCATGGGCGTTTTACAATAGATTGGTGTCAATGGATGGTCTGGGGCAGCTGTATCAGGCAAACTCAAAGAACTGTATCTCACTTTTCAAAAAGAAATCATTTATTTACATCAATGTTATTAGGGTCCTGTTTATAAGCAAAACAGGTTGTGACATCACTCATGTTAATTTGTCCATGGAGAGTACCTTGGTTTTCATCTGTTAAGTTCGATTTACCTGAAGAAAGACCGGCTTCACTGGTGCAAATACCTTGCACAATGGCCCAAAATACCACCAAAACACAGTTAAATCAATTTTGCTATATCACTGGATCATAATAATTCAGCTAATGAACATGTTTTCATTTTAGTCTGTTAAATTTAGGATCCATATGTTTTGAGTCATTTTGGAAAGCCTGCTAACTGTTCAGTTCCTTATTTCCTTGAAATGATTTTGACTTGAATCCCATTCTTTGGGGCCATTGTCACAGCAGCCTTGAGTTGAAGGGGTACCTGTTAAAAAAGTATGTTATCCAGTCACATATGGGATTTCTATGTCCAACAATGTAATTTAAGAATTTCTTGCACAAAGAAAAAGTTTGATATTTTCCAACAATACCTCAGTCTCTGCAGAACGCTGAAATGTAAACCTCTTCAGTAGATGAACCAACGCTAGTTTAGCTTCTATGAGTGCAAATCTCATGCCAATACAGGATCGTGGTCCTGTGCCAAACGGAAGATAACAGTATGGGCTGCGCTTCTGTTTGGCTTCCGGGGAAAACCTAAACACACAAATGAAGAAACAAACAGAGTGATCAACATTAAATATATCCCCAGCATACAATATCTGTTCAATGCATTGTAAAGTGGTAGGTGATGTGAACATGTACAAAAGAATAAACCTTAGAGAGCATTACCATAACTTACAATGATAAAAATCATAAAGTATACACAACTGTACAAGTCTACTTTCATCTTCTGAGCAGCTTTTTAGGTGCTTAAATATTGCACAACTAAATTAACAAATCCAAATTTTGGCAAATAAGTTCTCATCTCATCTTGCTACAAGCTTTGATGTATTCACAACACTGTTGTTTAGAGAAACAAGTGCAAAGGGAACCCTACAACACAAGGATCACCTGACAATGAGTACCTTAAATCCTCAAATTAGTGCCTCCACTCAAATAAGCACCCCTCCTATAGGCCAAAATTTAAAATAAGCCCCTCCCCTTGAATAAGTGCCCCCCTCCACTTTCAAAATATGATCATATCTGGTCGGGATTTGGGAAAAATTAAGAAAAGCAAACCCTCAATTAAGTACCTTCCTTGAATAAGCACCCTCCCCTGTTCTCCTAAACTTGAAATAGACACTAATTCAAGGATTTACGGCATTCATGCTTGTTTCTATTTTTCAGTTGATCCTGATTGTGGTGGACCATTTGACTTATATCATGCATATGCATGTCCAGAAAAAATGCTCAAGAAAAAAGTGCATGAAAGGGCTAGAAAAACAAAATTCATGTCTAGTATACCAAATCACCCAACTTCCCCCACCCTCAAAAGTCAAATGGTCCAACTCTTATGGTCAACTTTGATTTGTTTGTATAGCATAGGTTTCACAATCCTAAGGATTCAGTGTACCTCTCAGGATCAAAGGTCTCTGGATCTGGCCAATATTCTGGGTCACGGTGAAGATGGTAAACAGGAACAATTGCCATTGTATCCTTAAGAAAGTGTACACCATTTAATGTGCAGCTTTCACTGCAAATACGTCCAAATCTGAATGATCAGAAAAGAAAGAAAAACATTTTCATTTGATATAAGCATAAAGGACTCTGTTTACTACTGACCAGTAAGTGGCCTTCTATGAGTGAAAACAGATCCACAAATGCAAAGTAACACAATTTTTCATAAAATTTGTTTCCTCTTTACTACAGTGGAGTCCCGCCTTACGGCTGCCTCGCTAATATGGTCACCTTGTTATTACAGCTACTTTTTCTTGTCCCAGCGAAACCCCCATACATCTTCTTAAAAGAAAAACCCTGTTAATGCAGCCACCCCATTACTATGGCCAACGCCCACATTCTGAAATCCCAACCTGTAAATTCCTTTATAAGTTTACCCTGTTTATTTTCACTTTCTTTAAAATTATATCCAGATTTTGGATGCTAAGATAAGAACAGTTGTTTAGAGGTGCGATTGTGATATATCTGTTAAGATGTCAGTCAGCTTAGACCAGTCGTGAGGTTTGATCCTACCCAGTTAATATGGCCAAATTTTTATGGCCCATAGGTGACCATGTTAATGGGGTTCCACTGTATTTGTAAGCATTTACTTTTTTCTTTTAGTAATAACCTATTAACAGTTCTGTGCGAGGTAAAGGTAAAGTCTGCATACGAGCCAACTGCAACTGGCTCATCAGGCTGGAACTTATCCCAGTTTATGTAGCATGAAGTGACTAGGAGTATTTCTACTCCCCACCTGGATGGGATTCTAGTCCATCGCTCCTCCCATAGTTATGTGCTAAGCTACAAATAAATTTTACAACTCATTCCTAGTGGCCTTAAGGTGACTGAATTCCATGGGTGAGAAGAACACCATATGTCAGTTTAAAAGTAATTTTTTTTAAATCTATTAGTTTATAATTTACTTTTGTATTTTTAATATATTTTTTAATTTGTGTATTTATTTTTTAATAATTTAATGTTATTTTGGATCGGGACCTTTCTGTAGATCACCTACGGGTGAGGAAGCTTCCTGTTAAAATATCACTATTACAAGAACAACTTTGTATAACAGTCTGATAATGAGCTTGATATACCTGAAAGCAGGTGGATACAGACGTAATGCTTCACACAACACCATGTCCAAATACTCCAAATTCTGGACTGTCTCATAGTCAGCAGTTTCCTACAAAACAAGATCCCGCAAACAAGTTATCAGTAAACAAACACATTTCACTGCAGTCCCAAAATTGCACAAACCAATATTTAGGGATGCTTACAAACATGCCCATAAAATCTAAAGAAAAAAGTTGTGGATTTGCCACTTATTTTGAAATTGTATGGATGTGATGTTGTAATGCAATTTTTACATTAGTGTTAAAGCTGTTTGCATGTGTGTGAGAAATAATGTGCTCCGATACTGTCAGTTTGCATGTATGTATTTAACTGCAAACATTTTTGAAATCAGTTAATCAATCAATCAATCAATCAATCAATCTATCTATCTATCTATCCCTCGCTGGATGGATAGATAGGAAGATCTCCTCCAAGTGTGTCAGCTGCATGTTCATCATGAACATTGTATTTGTCTACTAACCTTGTCTCCAACAGCTTCGTCAATTTCCTCAATGAGTTTCTCCTGCACTTCAGGGTTCAAAGCTAGACAGTATGTTGTGTATGCCAAAGCATTGCTTGTTGTCTCATATCCAGCTAAGATGAATGTAAAAGACTGTGCCAGAACTTCATCATCACTCAGTTTACTCACATGTTTGCCGTCTTTGTCAGTGACTTCTGCACGCAACATTAGCTCCAACAGATCTTTCCTCTGCAAAACAGAAAGGCAATTCACAGCTTGTGCAGCAAATGAACTGTCAAGAGCAGTTGTAACAGTTTCTTTCAGTAAACAAAACAGAGCTTGAGTTACCTGTGATACTCCACTCTCCCTCCTCAAATGCAACACCTCTTCTGCAGCTTTCATAATAAAGGCTGCAGATGCTGCTGCTTCAGTTGCAGAAGAATGAAAGAACAGACTGGTGACCAACTGAAGTACAGGCCTCATAAATGGGAACACCACTACATTAATGAATAAAACAAAAATAACAAGGATCAATTACCAGTGAAGCGTATTGTTGCCCAGTCTGGCACTATCTAACAACTTACATTTAAGGTCCAAAAGCAATATGGCATCCCAGAAGTAATGGCCATCTCAAAGAAGGGATAAATTTTCACAGTTAATGTAACGTCAGGTTCACAGTATTGCTAAGCAACAAATTGGCGAATCAGAAAGAGTTAAGATTACTCACTTAATTAGAGAAGCCTCGATATGGTGTTCATTACAGTTAACAAGTCCCAAAAGAGGCACCATTCAAAAATTAAGGTATGTTATAATAAGCAGGAATGCCAACCTGAAAAAATTGAAATCTGGGAAATTGCAAGGACTTACTCAAAACAAAGGAAAATCCAGGTTGTTGAAACAGTTTCTCTGCATTGGAAGTGTAAAGCTCATCATCACTTGTCTGTATGCCTACTTGGACACCGAAAGCTGAAGCTAAAATCACTTCCATGGTAAACTTTCCATAAGTCCTGTTGGATGTGAAATGATGTCAGTTACCAGTAATTTAGCCTGCAAATGTATTTCTGACAGAGTGAAAGCCGGAAATATGTCTGCATTTGCAGGTTACCAGTATTGAAAGGAATGTTTAGTTTTATTGATGCAAAATAAAAATGTTTCTTCTGACAGACAACAGGTATAACATGTATTTGTTTTGTTGACCTGATGATTTATACCTGTTACCAGTGGTTTACACACTAAACAACTTTCAGTTTATAATTTTAACAAATAAAATATTCTACTCTGAATATGCAAGAAAAAGTCAAACTTCAATGACTATTTAATATTAATATTGTTTAGCACCGGTTAGGAAATTATATAATTTTTGAGGGACATATTATATTATTATTAAGTAATTAGATTGTGTTCTCTAGATTTTATTCTTGATTATTGATATGGGCAGAAGCAAGAACATTGACACTGGAAATTGTTCCTAGTAGGTAAAGCAAATAGCCCTATCTAGACATTTCTTGATAAGCTCTGTTTTGATTGATACATCAAATTATAGCAGATTATTTCTAGTATTTTTACTTCTGATTAGCGACTAATAATAGTTGTTCCCACCTCCACATGTCCACTTTTTCTCCTGACTGGGCAATTTTTTCCAGCTTTTTGCACAATGTGTCACATGATTGGTGAATTAAAGGTGCAATCTTCAGGAAGGTAAATAAAAGATATTGTCCAGTGTATTGGTAAGTGCAATAATGATGATGATATTGCATACTGTATGACTGACCAGGTACAATTCATTACAACTTGGTAGACACTCAGCCTACATGACTGAAGCAATTGGCTGGCTTACTTGTCAATTCAGTTAAGAACACTTCTTCTGAAGTTGATAAGGACTCAGCTGTGCCTTGTGGTATACACTTAATCTTTCTTGTCCCTTTGTGCTTGTGTTACTCAACAATACATATGGATGTGTAAACTATAATTTCACATACCAAAACATTGAACCTGCTACTGAAAAAGTTATAAAACTATGCACAGAGAACAGAATGATATAGTTTGTTCTGAAAAAAGTTTGCTTCAGAACACAAAAGTAGGTTTGAAAAATGCTTAAAAATGGGAAGGAGGGAATAGGGAATATTATTTCCTAACATAGATATCCATGGGTTATTTACATCAAGGCCAACACCTTATGTTTGTTTGATCCTTTGCTAATCTCAAGTGATTGGCAGCACCAACCTGCTTCAATTTAACAGCACTAAATGTTGGAGTAATTGTTGTACGGATTCTCCTCCAGTCCTCATCCTCAAGTTGTAACAACCCTTTCCTGCTGCTCATACCCTGGCCTCCAAAATTCTAGAAACAGACATTAACAAATAAGCATCACACTAAGTTAATGTACAGTGTATGCAGGCGATTATATGTGTAAGTCAGAAGCACAACATTCCCAGTCAAAAATGTCCTTAAAGTTAATTATTTCTGTATCATGACTTATTTAACATTGATTCCACTTAGTACTAGTACTAGTAATAGTAATAGTTATATTATGTTAATAGTAATAGCATGTTAGTAATAGTAATAGCATATTATTTGCTCAAGGTTACCATATACCTTAAGAAGTGTCTTGTGTCCAAGCGATGTGGTGCATCCAGTTTAAACTGTAGATACCAAAACCCCCATATCAAATTATAGCTCATAGAGCTGGCTATCAAACTGTACTGAGAAGTTTTAAATAAAATGAGTTATCAAATTTCACTAAATGCGAGCATCCAAATCACATTTTAAAAGCTACAATTAAAAGGGAATTGTTCTTTTGCCTCCAAATTTGGACAGTAGTTATAGAAGGTTTAACATATAAAAAACAAACAAGTGTCCCCAAATTTTTTACTTCAAACTCTTTTCTCTCAAAGAGTAATTTTGTAGGATGCCTCCACAATTTTTAATCCTATTTTGAAAATAGGTAACTTTTCACAGCAACTGAACATTGCAAAATACAAACACTTTTTTTTAGTGCTTAAGGTCATGCAAACTGAGGAAATTAAATTAATGAAAGACAAAATTCACTTTGACTTGTAGCTTTCAAAAGGTGATTCGGATGCTCACATTTAGAGGTTATGAAAAATTTGGAAATATTTTAATTTTTGGTAATAAAAAACCAGTGATAAAAGCGACTGATGTTTCGACCCCTCTGAGGCCATTTTGAAGTTCAAGTAAAATATTAAGTAGCACACAAATGTAAAGGTCTTAAAAATAAATGGGAATGCAAAATCCTTAAAACATGTCAACATTGAGCGAGATGACATCATGTGAAGTTTTAACATTCTAAGAAAGTGTAAGAATTAGCTGGATTGCCTCATTTTTGAAATACTTTTTATTGAGGAACTGAAACCAATGCTTAAAATACAGTGGTACTCAATTCGTCAGAAGCTATTTGTTTAGATATTATCCATATTAACATGCTTTAAGGTTTTCACATTCCCATTTATATTTGTATGCTATTTTATATATTACTTGAACTTGCAAATAACCTCTGAGAGGTTGAAACGTTGTTTGCTTTCATGGTACCCTGCATAGCAAACATTCCCATACGAGCTGAATGAAATCAGGCCGCGTGAAAAATGGGGGTGGGGAGAGAGCAAAAAGGTTGAAGGAGGGGGGTGGGGGGAGGAGAAATTCCCCCACCCAACCTGCTTTGTCCACCTTGTTGCTCTCGCCTCACTCTTTGCACGGCCCAAATTGCTCTTACCCCATTTTCCCCATGGCCCGAATGCGAAAAACTCCTTCATGTGGCCCAATTTCGTTATTACCAAATCTTATTATTATTTTAATTCACTCTAAAATTCTTGGAATAGTTTGATCAATGAACTGCACTATAAGCTTTAATTCGATATATGCATTTAGGTATGTACAGGCTTCATCACTTGGACGTGGGACACCTCTAAAGATATACTGCAACCTAAAAGAAACAGGGGAATCCTTTGTCGTTATTCACACCATACAGCTCCGCAAGTACAAGTTTTGCTGGCAAGATATTTTTCTACAAATACCCGCACTTACCGCAAGTGGTCTATTGGGAAATTTACTGAATTCTTTGACAAGAATCTGCTTAAGAAGGTCAACATCTGATATCATGTATGCAGGGATGCGTCCAAGATAATACCTACCAAAATTAATTGTCACGAAAATTGATCAAAGACGGTAAGCATTAATGTACAAACTCAGAAGAACCTAATGTGGATTTGGTTTTGACATATCAACTGTGTAGCTACCAATCATATGCAAGATCTAGCTGGATGAAGTGTAACCATGGTAACTCAATGCATAGTCCTAGTACCACGGTTTGTTATTCATTTGCCAAAAATGGGTTTTGAATTTTTTTCCAGCAAGGAATTCATTGTTGTTTGCACAGATCTTTTTCTTCAAGAAGAAAATTTTACTGACCTGTTAGAAGAGGCTAGGGATTAATCCAGAAGCCCAGTCTTTCAAGCCAAGGGCTGATGTTAAAATGCTTAAAGAGATTAAGTGCCACTACTTACTTAAAAATGCATTAGGCACTAAAAAATAAGCAATATTATTGTGAAATATGTAAGACAGTAACATACCCAAAAACTCTTCCATATTTTTCAGCTAATTCCTTTTCAACTAAAAATGGCTGACCAGGCTGAAAGCAAGAACTAAACAAGTGAGACAATCTCAATATACAGCACTAACATATTAAGTTATAATCAAACACTTGATCAGGTCCCTACCCCTGCTCACTCTTAATATACTTTAGAGTCAGCTTGGGCTTTTCCCGGCTAGCAGAATAGGAAAAGACAGAAACCTTTATAAGTCAAAACAAGTAGCAGTGCCTATGTGTGAATGTTTGTATTTTCCCTCAAGGCACAAAAAAGGACAGCTTTTCAAGACAGCTTCTTATTTAATGTGGCATTTTACATTGATTTTTGTTCATTTCATTTGTAAATTCCATAGGATGTTTAAGCCAGTGTCCATAACTTGGTACTTTTGAACTTTCCAGCAACAATAATTTACAATTTGAGAATTCTTTCCAACAACATCTTTTCGCCAGTATTTTCATTGTTTTTAAGGACTTTGGTCTTGTATAAAAACTGTTGTTATGAATCAAATAGCAGTGTGTGATAAAATGAATTACATGCTATCTAAATTATTCCAAAAGTTGCAACTGACCAACACGGTCCAACACTAGTGAACGAGAACTTAATTTCAACTTGTTTACATTCAGTGCATTAAATTTCTCCAAGTGACTGCTCACAGTACATTCTAAAAGCAAGTGAGATATTGCAAAATTGTGACCTAATCATACAAGGACAAATTAGTTTGAACTTGTAATGATGTCACTCATGTACACACAAATTAAGCCTAATGAATTACTCTTGAAGTTGAAGGTGCCAGCCATAATTTGGTAGATAACTAAATTGGGTCTGGGTCACTGACTGTCTCATGCATTGCTCCTCCATCTGCCAGTTGCACAGTTCTAGTCATGGTGGACAAGGGGTCAAGACCATTCATGAGGGTCTTGCAAGAAGCATAAAGTAACACTGTCTGAAAGTGTCACTCAACAAGCGTTATTACCATTGCCAGTGGCCAGTCAAGGGTGTTCAATGTTGCAAGTTGCAAATTGGCAAACTCCTTCTCGTGATATTGATGTTGCCAGGTACTGTCCTAAGAAACTGCTTGTTGTAATGAAAATGTGGTAATTCATAGTGTAGTTGTAGTCACTTTCTTTGACTATGAAAGCCAAGATTGATGTAAACCCTTCCAGCACACTTTCATTCATTCTCAAGTATTACCGAAGTCATAAAATAATTACCTTCTTGCTTATTTCAGGAAGATTTCCAACAAATGGCCATGGGGGAGGACCAGGTATACCCAATTTCTTAAAGGTAGAAAAGGGAGCCACTGCATACCTAGAATCACATACAAATGTACAACATGAAAAACCTATTTTTTTCCTCATGCAATGGAGATATTACAGCAATATGAAACAAACAGTGGAGGAGTGCACTGAAATCTGGAGATTCAGTTAAAACATGGAAAAAACACAAGCTTTTTTTTTTTCTCCAAGCATCTCAATTGTCCAGGATGTGGAATCCAGAATCCAGAATCCTGGAATTTGATTGGCTTGTTGGCTGATTTAGCTAGAAACTTACGGTTTCGGTTCACTTTAAACTCAGCAGTAGGCTGTGTAAACATAAAAGTGAAAGCTAATAAATATGAAAGCCATGAGAGGGAAAGCAAATTTTATAATCCAGAAGCAAACTAATAAACATTGGGAACATCCCTGAGGAGCAGCAAGATGAAGAACTTATGTTGTAACATTCTTTTGATTGTATTTTTGCAGTTTCAAACTCTTTCACTGTTGAAAAAATCAGTTCTTACTGTCTGTGATTTGGAACTGCCTAACAAACTACACTCCGGTTGACTGCCTGATGTAGCAAGGTGACCATTTAACAGAGGTAAATTACAATAAATTTGGCCAATTGGTGGTGACTGCGTCCACTTAATAGCTGAGGTGACCGCTTAATGGAGGTCAAATATACAATAAATTTGTGAAGCGAATTTCATGAATTTGAATGACCAGTGACCTCTTGATAGGGGGTGACCTCTTAACAGAGGATCACTTCAATTAATAGACTGGTTTGACTGTAGTTATCTTTAAATTTACCTTGGCCATGTTAGCATTGGTAGTTGTAAATTGCAATTTTTTACCTTGTTACCCATCCGTCACGATGGTTTCCTAAACCGTGACAAGGTCTGTGCAGACCGAGGATGAAATGCAGACTGCAGACCAGGGAAAAATGCACACTTCGGCCTGCAAACATTTTTTATTATTTTTTATATGTATATTGTGTTGCTTCCAATATTTAGTGCTAACTGTACACAGACTAATCATATAACCTGAGCGTTTTATATCAGGCTAATGGTTGAGAAAGCTCGCACTGATTGGCTTGAGAATCACTATACTAAGGTTGGTGAATAACGCTCAGTTTAGCCTGTGTGGAGGGTCCACAATAGGATTCTCAGATCCCACTTTCCCGTCCATTTTTTCCTGTTAATCCTGCCATACTGCCCTTTTTTGCCTGGAAATCCCGATCCTGCCCACTTTTCAAAGACGTTTCTGTGTTAATTATTAATTTGTTACATTAATAGTTAGTTTAATTATTAACTCAGAAACTTTTTAAAAATAGATATCCCATAAAAGATCAAATAGATATCGCATCAAAGAATTCAATGGGTAGCATATAAGTAGGCACAAATGATTGTANTAAAAATGGGAAGGAGGGAATAGGGAATATTATTTCCTAACATAGATATCCATGGGTTATTTACATCAAGGCCAACACCTTATGTTTGTTTGATCCTTTGCTAATCTCAAGTGATTGGCAGCACCAACCTGCTTCAATTTAACAGCACTAAATGTTGGAGTAATTGTTGTACGGATTCTCCTCCAGTCCTCATCCTCAAGTTGTAACAACCCTTTCCTGCTGCTCATACCCTGGCCTCCAAAATTCTAGAAACAGACATTAACAAATAAGCATCACACTAAGTTAATGTACAGTGTATGCAGGCGATTATATGTGTAAGTCAGAAGCACAACATTCCCAGTCAAAAATGTCCTTAAAGTTAATTATTTCTGTATCATGACTTATTTAACATTGATTCCACTTAGTACTAGTACTAGTAATAGTAATAGTTATATTATGTTAATAGTAATAGCATGTTAGTAATAGTAATAGCATATTATTTGCTCAAGGTTACCATATACCTTAAGAAGTGTCTTGTGTCCAAGCGATGTGGTGCATCCAGTTTAAACTGTAGATACCAAAACCCCCATATCAAATTATAGCTCATAGAGCTGGCTATCAAACTGTACTGAGAAGTTTTAAATAAAATGAGTTATCAAATTTCACTAAATGCGAGCATCCAAATCACATTTTAAAAGCTACAATTAAAAGGGAATTGTTCTTTTGCCTCCAAATTTGGACAGTAGTTATAGAAGGTTTAACATATAAAAAACAAACAAGTGTCCCCAAATTTTTTACTTCAAACTCTTTTCTCTCAAAGAGTAATTTTGTAGGATGCCTCCACAATTTTTAATCCTATTTTGAAAATAGGTAACTTTTCACAGCAACTGAACATTGCAAAATACAAACACTTTTTTTTAGTGCTTAAGGTCATGCAAACTGAGGAAATTAAATTAATGAAAGACAAAATTCACTTTGACTTGTAGCTTTCAAAAGGTGATTCGGATGCTCACATTTAGAGGTTATGAAAAATTTGGAAATATTTTAATTTTTGGTAATAAAAAACCAGTGATAAAAGCGACTGATGTTTCGACCCCTCTGAGGCCATTTTGAAGTTCAAGTAAAATATTAAGTAGCACACAAATGTAAAGGTCTTAAAAATAAATGGGAATGCAAAATCCTTAAAACATGTCAACATTGAGCGAGATGACATCATGTGAAGTTTTAACATTCTAAGAAAGTGTAAGAATTAGCTGGATTGCCTCATTTTTGAAATACTTTTTATTGAGGAACTGAAACCAATGCTTAAAATACAGTGGTACTCAATTCGTCAGAAGCTATTTGTTTAGATATTATCCATATTAACATGCTTTAAGGTTTTCACATTCCCATTTATATTTGTATGCTATTTTATATATTACTTGAACTTGCAAATAACCTCTGAGAGGTTGAAACGTTGTTTGCTTTCATGGTACCCTGCATAGCAAACATTCCCATACGAGCTGAATGAAATCAGGCCGCGTGAAAAATGGGGGTGGGGAGAGAGCAAAAAGGTTGAAGGAGGGGGGTGGGGGGAGGAGAAATTCCCCCACCCAACCTGCTTTGTCCACCTTGTTGCTCTCGCCTCACTCTTTGCACGGCCCAAATTGCTCTTACCCCATTTTCCCCATGGCCCGAATGCGAAAAACTCCTTCATGTGGCCCAATTTCGTTATTACCAAATCTTATTATTATTTTAATTCACTCTAAAATTCTTGGAATAGTTTGATCAATGAACTGCACTATAAGCTTTAATTCGATATATGCATTTAGGTATGTACAGGCTTCATCACTTGGACGTGGGACACCTCTAAAGATATACTGCAACCTAAAAGAAACAGGGGAATCCTTTGTCGTTATTCACACCATACAGCTCCGCAAGTACAAGTTTTGCTGGCAAGATATTTTTCTACAAATACCCGCACTTACCGCAAGTGGTCTATTGGGAAATTTACTGAATTCTTTGACAAGAATCTGCTTAAGAAGGTCAACATCTGATATCATGTATGCAGGGATGCGTCCAAGATAATACCTACCAAAATTAATTGTCACGAAAATTGATCAAAGACGGTAAGCATTAATGTACAAACTCAGAAGAACCTAATGTGGATTTGGTTTTGACATATCAACTGTGTAGCTACCAATCATATGCAAGATCTAGCTGGATGAAGTGTAACCATGGTAACTCAATGCATAGTCCTAGTACCACGGTTTGTTATTCATTTGCCAAAAATGGGTTTTGAATTTTTTTCCAGCAAGGAATTCATTGTTGTTTGCACAGATCTTTTTCTTCAAGAAGAAAATTTTACTGACCTGTTAGAAGAGGCTAGGGATTAATCCAGAAGCCCAGTCTTTCAAGCCAAGGGCTGATGTTAAAATGCTTAAAGAGATTAAGTGCCACTACTTACTTAAAAATGCATTAGGCACTAAAAAATAAGCAATATTATTGTGAAATATGTAAGACAGTAACATACCCAAAAACTCTTCCATATTTTTCAGCTAATTCCTTTTCAACTAAAAATGGCTGACCAGGCTGAAAGCAAGAACTAAACAAGTGAGACAATCTCAATATACAGCACTAACATATTAAGTTATAATCAAACACTTGATCAGGTCCCTACCCCTGCTCACTCTTAATATACTTTAGAGTCAGCTTGGGCTTTTCCCGGCTAGCAGAATAGGAAAAGACAGAAACCTTTATAAGTCAAAACAAGTAGCAGTGCCTATGTGTGAATGTTTGTATTTTCCCTCAAGGCACAAAAAAGGACAGCTTTTCAAGACAGCTTCTTATTTAATGTGGCATTTTACATTGATTTTTGTTCATTTCATTTGTAAATTCCATAGGATGTTTAAGCCAGTGTCCATAACTTGGTACTTTTGAACTTTCCAGCAACAATAATTTACAATTTGAGAATTCTTTCCAACAACATCTTTTCGCCAGTATTTTCATTGTTTTTAAGGACTTTGGTCTTGTATAAAAACTGTTGTTATGAATCAAATAGCAGTGTGTGATAAAATGAATTACATGCTATCTAAATTATTCCAAAAGTTGCAACTGACCAACACGGTCCAACACTAGTGAACGAGAACTTAATTTCAACTTGTTTACATTCAGTGCATTAAATTTCTCCAAGTGACTGCTCACAGTACATTCTAAAAGCAAGTGAGATATTGCAAAATTGTGACCTAATCATACAAGGACAAATTAGTTTGAACTTGTAATGATGTCACTCATGTACACACAAATTAAGCCTAATGAATTACTCTTGAAGTTGAAGGTGCCAGCCATAATTTGGTAGATAACTAAATTGGGTCTGGGTCACTGACTGTCTCATGCATTGCTCCTCCATCTGCCAGTTGCACAGTTCTAGTCATGGTGGACAAGGGGTCAAGACCATTCATGAGGGTCTTGCAAGAAGCATAAAGTAACACTGTCTGAAAGTGTCACTCAACAAGCGTTATTACCATTGCCAGTGGCCAGTCAAGGGTGTTCAATGTTGCAAGTTGCAAATTGGCAAACTCCTTCTCGTGATATTGATGTTGCCAGGTACTGTCCTAAGAAACTGCTTGTTGTAATGAAAATGTGGTAATTCATAGTGTAGTTGTAGTCACTTTCTTTGACTATGAAAGCCAAGATTGATGTAAACCCTTCCAGCACACTTTCATTCATTCTCAAGTATTACCGAAGTCATAAAATAATTACCTTCTTGCTTATTTCAGGAAGATTTCCAACAAATGGCCATGGGGGAGGACCAGGTATACCCAATTTCTTAAAGGTAGAAAAGGGAGCCACTGCATACCTAGAATCACATACAAATGTACAACATGAAAAACCTATTTTTTTCCTCATGCAATGGAGATATTACAGCAATATGAAACAAACAGTGGAGGAGTGCACTGAAATCTGGAGATTCAGTTAAAACATGGAAAAAACACAAGCTTTTTTTTTTCTCCAAGCATCTCAATTGTCCAGGATGTGGAATCCAGAATCCAGAATCCTGGAATTTGATTGGCTTGTTGGCTGATTTAGCTAGAAACTTACGGTTTCGGTTCACTTTAAACTCAGCAGTAGGCTGTGTAAACATAAAAGTGAAAGCTAATAAATATGAAAGCCATGAGAGGGAAAGCAAATTTTATAATCCAGAAGCAAACTAATAAACATTGGGAACATCCCTGAGGAGCAGCAAGATGAAGAACTTATGTTGTAACATTCTTTTGATTGTATTTTTGCAGTTTCAAACTCTTTCACTGTTGAAAAAATCAGTTCTTACTGTCTGTGATTTGGAACTGCCTAACAAACTACACTCCGGTTGACCGCCTGATGTAGCAAGGTGACCATTTAACAGAGGTAAATTACAATAAATTTGGCCAATTGGTGGTGACTGCGTCCACTTAATAGCTGAGGTGACCGCTTAATGGAGGTCAAATATACAATAAATTTGTGAAGCGAATTTCATGAATTTGAATGACCAGTGACCTCTTGATAGGGGGTGACCTCTTAACAGAGGATCACTTCAATTAATAGACTGGTTTGACTGTAGTTATCTTTAAATTTACCTTGGCCATGTTAGCATTGGTAGTTGTAAATTGCAATTTTTTACCTTGTTACCCATCCGTCACGATGGTTTCCTAAACCGTGACAAGGTCTGTGCAGACCGAGGATGAAATGCAGACTGCAGACCAGGGAAAAATGCACACTTCGGCCTGCAAACATTTTTTATTATTTTTTATATGTATATTGTGTTGCTTCCAATATTTAGTGCTAACTGTACACAGACTAATCATATAACCTGAGCGTTTTATATCAGGCTAATGGTTGAGAAAGCTCGCACTGATTGGCTTGAGAATCACTATACTAAGGTTGGTGAATAACGCTCAGTTTAGCCTGTGTGGAGGGTCCACAATAGGATTCTCAGATCCCACTTTCCCGTCCATTTTTTCCTGTTAATCCTGCCATACTGCCCTTTTTTGCCTGGAAATCCCGATCCTGCCCACTTTTCAAAGACGTTTCTGTGTTAATTATTAATTTGTTACATTAATAGTTAGTTTAATTATTAACTCAGAAACTTTTTAAAAATAGATATCCCATAAAAGATCAAATAGATATCGCATCAAAGAATTCAATGGGTAGCATATAAGTAGGCACAAATGATTGTATCGTTTCTTTTTGTAAGCGGTTTACTGTTTTGTTTTCTTTTATCCACGTATCAGTGAAAGAAAAAGATTGTTCATTCCCATATTCAAGAGATGGCCCGTAAACGCACTTGACAGTTTCTTTCAAAGCTTTCAGCGTCTTCACTTTCCTTGAAATCTGGCCTCAGAACGTTTCTTTCTGGATGATAGCATTCCTGCTCGCGCATCGTTCTCGTAAGATATGATGACGCAAGTTATAGTGTCGCATACTTCATTCGGTAAATCACTATCACCTGATCACCGCCACTCAGTGTTGCCATCCTGGCCAAAACCAAGACAAGCGCTCTAGAAAAGGTCGAAAGACTTAAAAAACTAGAAAAGATCGGAGGGTCAAGATTACAGTTGTAAGAGTCGAAAATGTCGGAAAGGAACAGATGTCATTGGTGTCAGAGGTCAACACAAATGATAGCTTGTGTAGCTTGGCGATTTTTTTAACGCGGCTTCGCCGCTTTCTTATCGCGCTCAAATATTTGCTTAAAAACGTAACCGCCAAGCTACGCAGGCTACACAAATGATCGCAAGAGGACTCGAAGGGCTCATACAGTCTTATGATACTAAACGATAATGAATACATTTGACAGAACCTGACAGAGTACAGAGCCGTTACTATTCACTCTGTCATTACTTGAAACCTGGCACAGCTATACGCACAAAAGTTTCGTTTCTGTCAACTTGTGTTTTCTGCGCGGGTCAATAACAATTTATGAGGTCACGTAAGAATTGAAATCCCGTCTCTCGCTCTGTTCCCCTTGCGAATCCCGCATCCCAACACCATAAAAACACGAAATCCCGCTTCCGCTCGTAATTGTGATTCCCGCTTCCCACCCCTGTTTTCAGCTCAAATCCCAAATATCACGGCGAAAAGAAGCCAAATCCCGCATCCCGCCAAACCTATTGGGGACCCTCGGCCTACGGTTAGCTTTCGATAATGCAAAGGGTAGCACGATTCAGGTAAAAACTCTGCAGTCTGCGGTCTGCGTTTTAACCGCTGCATTTTACCCACGGTCTACGGTCTTCAGTAGGCGTTTCACTAACAGATTTGGGTCACGCTCGTTCAAGCGCGCAGTGTGCAACTCACCAAGCCACCAACAGAACCACTCCAATGAGTGCTGCAATCCATAGATACTCGAATGTCGAAAAATCCATAATCCAAAAGAACGAAGTCAGAAGGAAAACTTGGATCTCAATATCCGTACAAGTACTTTCCACCTGAGCGAACGTTTAATATTTGTGTATATTATATACGTACCAAAATTTCAGTATGCTGATTGGTTGAGAGCTCGTCAATTTATCAAAGTGACTAAGTCCGAAGTAATTGTTCTCTGATCTCCTGAGCGGGCGATCAATAGCTGTATAATTTCAGCATGCTGATTGGCTGAGAGCAAGTTAATTAAATTCGAACGTCCTGAAGTAATTGCCAGAAAAATACTGTAAATAAAACCCCTGTTTATCGGCTACCTCTTTGAATCGCGGTCATATTTTGGTTGTCCCGATGAGGGAGTTTTTTTTACTGTCCCTTTAACCGGCCACCTAAAATTTAACACACGTAGTTTGGCTTTCTTTTCGAAAAGACTGATAACAGTCCGCATTAGAATTTGACGACTGATAAAAACATTCCAACAGACGTTTATAATGATCGTCTTGACGAGATTCTACGTTCACTAAGCAATTAACCAGATATAAAAAAAAGTACAAGAACACGAACCCCAATTCCCCGAGGGTGGCCCTTTACTTAAATAGGGGCTCGACTGTAATCTCAAACAGTACAGACAGCAGCCCCCCCCCCTACCCCCCTCCGCCGGCTCCGCCATCCCTGCGTACGGGCTCTCGTGCAATTTGTTTTAGTCTCTGAAAAATTTACTCAGGGAATGGTCAAAAAGTATAAGGTGGGGTGGGCCGGATCCCGGAGCATTTCAAAATGCGTGGATAAAAAACACATGACCAACCCCTACTATTTGGCACAAAACTGAGTGACCCACCCCTAAATGAAGGCCGAAAATTACATGACCTACCACCTATAAAACATGACATCACTGACTGCATAATCTAACAAAATAACATTTTGTGTATGAACTTGTGGTGGTATTTACGTTTTACAATTATTTCTTAGCAATGATAAAAAAGCCGTCCAAAAATAATATTGTTTTGCTTTTGTTTTTCCTTTACTTCTGCATTATGTCGCCTCACATGGAACAGTGATCCATCTAGAAAAGTCCTGGGACTCACAGAGCCGGAAAACTATGAGTCTCAGAGCCATGAGCACGAGTCTTGTCTATGTGGATAAGTAGCATGTGTTCTTGGAGAAGAAAGTGGAATATTGAAAACTTCTGCACTAGAAATCCACGCTCATTCCGTTAGACTTCCAAACTTTCGTACAGATTTTGCACTATATGAAATTACCATCTTTATTTTACACTAGCCACGAGTACTTTTTCACCGACGGGTAAAATAATTGCGTTCACGTAGAGAAACGCAATCATAATCCAGTCTGTATCGACATTTTTTGGGACGGATCTATTCGCCGATTTGGCCTCCCACACAAAGGGGGAGGAGGGGGTTGGGGGGGGGGGGTCGAAGACTAGCGGGTCAATTTACCAGCTATGGAGGACATAGAGCACACCAAGGAAGCCGACATTACGTTGTCTGTTTCTCTTGGGTAAGTAATCCAGCAATAGAGTAGTACCTTAAACTAGGAGCGCAAGTAGCCCGCTTTTATTTCTCGCCGGCCCTTCGAGTCGCCCGTTTTTTCCACTGATTGGATGACATGGTTGACTGGTTACAGAAAAGATCTGCAACCATCACTGATAACATCGATCAAAAAGGGAAAATGTCTCTTAACACTGAACTAAAAACACACAGTACATAATCTCTCTTACTTGTATGACTAAAAGTTTGAAAATTTGTCATTTGACATACTCCCAGACTTTCTTCTCGCTTCTTTTGTTGATTGCCCACTGTCATAATTATAATTCACTTTTATTCTTTTCATATATTCCACATTTACCTCACTTCTGTAAAGCAATTCAGATAAAAATTTGGATGAAAGGGGTCCTCTTACGCTGCGTTACCAATACAAACTAAGGATCTCTGATGGAGCGACCATTTGGTTACATCAAGCAACCTTACGCATAAACGACGGCGACGGTGAGGGCGACGCTTTGTAAAAAATTTGTTTCTATGTTACTTTGGAATTTTGCATTTATTTGGAACTATCCAGTGTGTCTGTCGGTATTAAGACTTACCCCTACTGAATATACTACGAATTCGTTCACTTTCAAATAGAAATACGAAAAAGTAGCCGTTGTGGTTCACGTTCTCCAGACAACGCAGAATTTGGTCATTTCACGTTGACGTTCCCGTTGCCGTCGTGTTTTGCGTAAGGTCCCTTATGACTCCACTCAGTCCAACTTCGTTCCCAGGCACCCTGGGAACGAAGTTGCACTCAGTCGTCTCTTATCAAACAAGATGGAGCTTAAGCAAACCATGACGACGACTGCATCGAGAACGTCACCAAACAAAAGGTTTAATAAGTAAAACAATGGCTGCGCACATGCGTTATAAGATTTTGTACATTTCTTTGCCGTCCTCTGCACAGGGGCACCCAACGACCGTTTTCTTTCGAATGATTTTAAACGCTGTTTTAGGCTATATGGAGTACTTTTAAAGGTCTGTAGGTCCTGCTCTGTAGGTAAATTTTATCTGTTCGGTTATTCTAGGGGAACTTGAGTATTCTCGAATTTATTAGGGCTTTTTTGTCATTTCCCGAAAACCTTAGGTCTTATCGCCTTTCCGAAAATGATAGCTGACCTTTTTTCGGTACCCAAAACGACATTTTTAACACTCCGAAAACAACAAGCATTAATTTTCTCATATTACGAAAGTTCGAGGTGACAATTCTCTTAGAAAATCAGAGGGGATTAAAGGCCTTCCGAACAGATAATTTACCGAAAAAATCTGTTGGGTACCCCCCCCTGTCTGCAAAGCAAGAACGTAAAATGGCCAAGTTCTGCGTAGTCTGAGGAACGCGAACGACGACGGCTAATTTTTCGTGTTTCCATTTGGAAGTGAACGCTGCCACTGCGTATTTAGCTAGAGGACGCTTTTAGAGCCATTGGCGTACTGAACAGATCTAGACAATTGCGTCGTCCTCGGCGTCGCCGTCGTTGTTGCTTAAGCTCCTTAATATTTGAGTGATGACGGGAAAGCGCGACTTGCGTCACTCTTCCTTCTCTGCCTTCTCCCCATCATCCCCCGCGTCGTAATAGTGACGTCTGGGGTCCCTGACTCGGATGTCGAATAGTTTGTTTGTTCGAAACACCTGTCATATTGTCACGTAATATTAAAAACGACGCGACGCGCGACCAAGCCGACGAGGCCCACCTCGGATATAAGGTTCTCCTACACATTATAGCTTTTTCAAAATTAAGATAAAATCTCACTGAGCCAAACTCTTTGCTGAAATCAATTGAAAGGGAATGTAGCTCTCAGCGTCATATCAACAATACAATTTTGAAAACATCTTTTTCATAGCAGGTACCTTGGACCATTTCCAGGGGCAAAAATTGAAAACAAGGGTTTACCAAACACATAAAGACGCGGCAACGAATACAAAATGCATGTTGAAAAAAGAATACAAGAGTGGTGCCTAAAACATTGCTTTTACGGTTATACAATATATCAGTGACACCCCGGTTATATAGGGGCGCAAATAATTCTCGGCATGGATATAAGCTGCAAGAACGCGCATCGATACTGAATACTAAAACACGACATACCTAATAATTATTTATTCGGATACGTTTTCATTAATTTTTAAAGGCCTCAGAGTTATAGCGTCTCCCAGCAGGTAATAGAAACTTAGTTAGTCGTCAATATGGAGCCACAAGTAGATGAAGAAACGCCTTCAAAAGGTTGTATAATTTTGTGTTTTGAGCGTATGTTTCAAAAGTTGATCGAGATCACGCCAAAATACATGTACTTCATACTAGCGGCTGATGGATAAATCATAAAATAATTGGTTCGTTCACTGATTCAAATTAAGAGATAATTACATGGAACCGAACGTTCCGTAACATCGAAGCACAAGCACCTAAAACTTGCAGCTTATTGGTCGAGCTAAAATGGCTCTGAGACTGCACAACACAAGATTACTTGACGACGGAATCTGCTGTTTCAGTTTCATCTTCGAAGAATTTTCCAGTGTTGGAGAAAATGTATATTCAAAGCCGTTCTTTTTCGCTGGGTGTAGATGGCGTTTGCAGGGCGGAGTGAAGGGAGGGCAGCTTGGAGTTTTTCTGCGCTGGCTTGGCGGTGGAGAGTACACTGATAAAACAAAATGTAAGATCAATTTTTCTGTGGAAATTATCAACAACAGAGATCCTTCAAGGTCTGTGAGAGCTGGAAATATGACTGACATTGATGAGTTTCCAAAAGTATCCTTCGGTATTGGTTGGAGCAAGTTAGTTCCTGCGGACGAAATCGAGAAACCTTACTCGGGCTTCTTAGATGAGAACAGTTTGTTTATCGAGATCAAGTGCGCCATAGTGCAGTTTGTATTTGAAGATAAGGTGGTGATCAACCTTTCATCCCGTACAAGTTATGTGACCAGTTCAAAGTTTTCTCTGTACGGTGACGAATGGTACCTGGTTCTTTATCCCAAAGGTGAACCCAAGAAAGACTCGGCTGGTGGCGGTCAACAGCACGAACACGCCGCAGTGTATCTGCACAGGCAAGAACCGGGCGTGCTAAGATTCAAAGCTACCTACTCAATTTTTGTGCGTGGAGGCCGTGAAATCCAAGTTAGCCATCACTTCGGCAACAGCAACGCTAGTATAGCATTCGGCATTGAGAAGTTCACCCGCAGTAAAGATCTCAAAGCCATATCAAAAGGAGGTATGGTATCCATTGGAGTCAAAATCACAAGCATCGAGCCATACTATTACTTTGGATTTGATACAGAATGCTGGTCGCCTCCTAATAACCTTGGAGAAGGATGCTCACTAAACAACGTGTTTCCTTTAGCTCTCAAGCCTACCTCAGATGACAAGAAAATGTTGGATTTCAAGCTGATGTTTGACCCAGGACCCAATTTAGAACACTCCGAACTGGAGGACAGTGCTTATTACGCCAAAATCCTTTGGAGCGTCAACGTGGTGTGTGTTAAAGATCACAACAGAAGTGTGACCGTCAACTCGTGGGATGTCCCGGGGAGAAGTGCCTTCTGCCACAGCCAAGATGAAATGTCCATGAACACAACCTTAGAATTGAATGAGGTACACGTAACTGTTCAAATAATAATCCCGTACTAAACCCTACACCCCTACAAAAACCTTTAGCAGGTTATATGCGGAATCTATATAGGACCGCCAGGTTTATTAAGCTCTTTCTCCCGACTACACGGAGTCTTCCGAGTCTCCTACTGTAGAGTGCGCCAATCTGTGGTTCACGCATAATGATATTTTGATTTCTTTTTGCTGACTTTCTAAGCAAGTTTTCATTCCCTCGCGAACCCGCCTTACTGAAAATTTGGAGAGCAATACAAGGTTTCCATTACTTTTCACCGCTGGTTTAGTTTACTCACTGATTGGTCGATAAGTCTTGACAACTGTACTAGTCACCTCATGAAAATTACTACATAGAGACTATATAAGCACTATATGATGCATCTCTACGGATCGTTAATTTAATACAGCACTAGGGATGTTGACGGAACATTTTAAAATCACTCGCCATTCTTCTTGTATGCTACCCCGTGATGGTTTTATTCCTTATTAATCACGGCACGCCACTAATCTGTAGCTCGCTTATTTGCGATAATTCAGTAATCTTTGTTTTTTGCCAGGTACTCAACCCTTACAGTCCATACTTAGATGACGAGAAACATCTTGGTGTTAGGCTCCTAATAGCAAATGCCAATGAAGTCTATGATCCTCTCTTGATCAACTCTGACAAACACAGCGTCGCAAAGCTGCGAGAAATGAATGCTCAGACCAAGGCTGTTGTCGAAAATTTCTGGTAAGTAAAGTAAAGTGAAGTGAAGTGAAGCGAAGCGAAGCGAAGCGAAGTACAGTACAGTACAGTAAAGTAAAGTAAAGTAAAGTAAAGTAAAGTAAAGTAAAGTAAAGTAAAGTAAAGTAAAGTAAAGTAAAGTAAAGTAAAGTAAAGTAAAGTAAAGCAAAATCCTTCATTTAAAACACGATTATCGTTTGCGAAAAAGCTGTATTAGACTGAGCAGTTTCTCAGAAAATTCATGCGATTAACCAATGGTAGCCATTATGCTGTTTTCACCCCAAAACCAATCATGACTGGTGCGTTTTCTGAGCCAGCTTTGAACGTTTATGCTTTGGTTTCTGATAGATTCACTACTTTATTTACGTTTGCTTGTTTGCTGCAATTTATAAAATCACTGTGAGCATCAGCTTAATCATGTGCCGTTTATCTCACGAAATATAATCAGAGTATCTGTAAGGCAAGGCAGAAAGAGGCACACTTCACGAGATGCCCTCACAACGATGCGGAGGGCGGACGATTTGTTAATCTTTCGATGATGATGTATGCAGTGGCCTGTTTATAACATGCAAATCAATGACTTCTTCTGAAAGTACAACATTTTACTGATTTCAAAGGAAGGATCAACTTGACGATGTGAATGCTGAAAAAGACAAAATAATAGCTGACAAAGAAGACGAACTTGCCGCGAGAGAGGAACAACTAAACAAGAAGGAAGCAGCTATCCAGGCGCTGAAAGACGAGATCACGGAGAGTAATGAATACCTTGCAGAAATTGAAAGCACTGTTGACGAGGTACTTAGCCGGTTAAGTAACACGCCCTGCTGTGCACTGTATCAACCAAGGACTACATAAAACACCAAAAAAATGTGAATTTCACCGTCTTGTTCCTACTGAGTATTCGCACCTATTCTCGGACAGCTTATACCCTGTTCAAAACACTTAAAAGTCACAACCTATATTAGAAGAGTTCTTTCTTGGTGATCTAGACATGTTTACACTGAAAAACCAGAGATATGATTACATGGGAAAACAACGAAAAAAAAAAAAGGAAATAAATGGAAATAAAAAATGACGATAGCAAAACAAAGTTTTGCGGTAGATTTTAGTTACAGCGACATTACTGCCATTATAAATATTTCTTTCACTCTGATTTCTATGGGTTTTTTTCTTTTTTTGTCCAGATTGATGGGAAGAAGGTGAGCAGCATAAAGGATCTTATTCAAGAAGCTCAACCTGAAGAAAAGGAACTCAATAAACAACAGGAAGTTGCAGAAAAGTTAAAGGCTTTCTTGATGGTAGGTGTACACAAATTTGTGTTTTCCCCTAAATTTATTAATTTATTCCATGTCAAATAAACTGACTGTTGAATGACCTATCACAGGAGCACCTTCCATTTAGCGTCAGCCGTATTTCAGTTGTGGGTGCCGTTGGTCAGGGAACAACCATCAAAGGAAACCTGGAACTAGACTTGGCTGTGTTTGTCAAAGGTACAGTGAAAGCTTATTTTCTCCTTATCATGGGTGCGCAAATTAAGAAATGGAAAATTGCACGCTTGGTAACCCACTTAGTACCTTCGAAGTCTCCACCAAACGTTCTTTTGTAAGTAACAAGCGGTTTGTTTCTACTTCGGTCGCTTCAAGACCGCGTTTATGTCGTTTATATAAATAAAAAATATGATTATAATTTTATGACTTAGTTTAAACAAAATCCAGTGGACAAACATAATAATAATAATAATAATAATAATAATAATAATAATAATAATAATAATAATAATAATAAT